AGGCCGCCCGCTCCATCGGGACGACGCTGTGTCTTCCTGAGAAGCTGTCTGAGCTCAGCACCTGTGGTTCTGCGTAGTGCGTTGTCCTGAACTCCGGCGGTAATTATTCGACGATTCCATTGATTAGCAATGCAATGACTAGCAGCTCGTCTAGTGAAGCCACAGACCAGGGTAGCAGACTTTCGTAAGACGCTCTGGATCTGCACCCAGTGTGTCTCAACATCGGTGATAGAGAACGTAGGTTGGAGGCTAATGTGTTCTGAAATGCGCCGAGAACATTTGGAGCGATGGGCTTTCGGTGTCAAGCCGTTTGGTTGGTGTCTCCAAAGCACAGTACCAACTTAGTACACAAGCGCATGATCCCAAGCCAGGTAAGTGTTCCATATTGACTTACAATCCGTTAGACATCGTCGCCAACGGTAACTAACAGCGATGTAGTCAATATGCGTCCAAGCTTCACCAGGCGCCGGAGGTCGCCAGGTGGCTACTTGACGCCAGGAACGTCGGGAATTGATGCTGTAAAGGAACAACCAGTGGTCGACGCATAGTTGAAGGAGTCGATCGGCGTTGTCCGTCCTGCGAGTACCGTGGCTGTGGTTACCCTCAAGTTTGCGCTCCCGAACCTCTAGTCTACCGACCTGCCCATTTAAGTCTCTGGCGATTACCACGAGGTCAGCGCGGCGTTTCTTGTGAAGCAACTCGGTGAGTTGGCGGTAAAACTCGTCTTTGACTTCATCCGGGCTGCAGTCCGTTGGAGCGTACGTCGCCACAATGAATAAGCAGCGCCTACTGGTCCTGTGCTTGGAAGATCGCACTGAGCTTTCCAAGCGGACTGCACAAAGACGGCTGTTGACAGGGAACCAGTCAACGAGCGCTACCTTAGCACGCGCACTTAACGCAACTCCTATGCTGGCGCAACCGGAGACTGCCGCTGTCGCATCTCCAGATAAGCGAAAGGTGAATGTGCATTTGGAACTTGGGGTGGCGAGTGCAATCGCAGCGTTTCGGTTAGACAGCGAACGTCAATTGAGAGGGTTTCCTAGGTGCACGCAAGAGCAGCTTTTGAACTAATCTGCATGAGCGTTCGAACATTGAATTTAGCTAGCTTGAAACGCGTGCGTGGTGCAATAAAAGCTTTGCTATTGTTATTGAAATCTTTGCGACCGGTTTCGAACGGTCCGTTGATGGGATCAAAGGTGCCGTTGTTATTTGCAATGCACTTTTGGAGACTCGCAATTGTAGGGGAGTTGACAAGAACAGGAGGGTTAAATAAACGTGGCTTGTGGTGCGGTAGAGTGTGGTTTAGCATGCCCGGCCGCCAACACCCCCGTCCAAAGAAAGAGAGAGAGTTCAGAGAGCAAGAAATGTGAGCAGAGAGTCGTAGATCCATCATTTCATGTGTTGTATGGGCATACAGCTTCCCGGTTGCCGAGGCCGAAGAAGGGGGTTGACTTAGGTGCCTCACTTGGAGCCTTTGCTCATAGGGACCTGACCCGCACGGCAGGGGAGCGAACTCAGGGAATCCTGCCCATTGAGAGCCGGTGACCGATTGCTCGATTCATACGCCTAAGTTTGGCTGGCTGTCAAACAGGGGCCCAATACTTCCATTAATTCAGCGTCAAGCTGTATGATTACAATGCTCCAGCGAGGTGAAGCAAGGGGCAGTGACTTTCTAACTGGCGTTTGGGGTGTCAGGGTTGGGAGGAGCAACACCGAACCATCAAGGGGCAGTGATTTTATTTAGTGGTGATTCACATTCGCCACGTCGCAGTTTTGTTAAATGGACAACAGTGGTTTTTTATATAGAGAACACTTGCCAGACGAAAACCCACCACATCCTGGACCACTGCCACCGAATCTTTCGCTGGATAGGGATAATCCCGAACACCCAGCTGGGTCAGAAAAAGCCAAATTCTTCCAGTCTAATACTAGTAAGGAAATGAGTAAATTTCTTCCCATTCTTTAAATATTTTCTCGTAATGCACCAGATCTCAAAACGTTCCATGTTATCCTCGATGTCAAGACAGTGGGAACGAATATCTAAATGGCATAGATTGCATAAATCCATGGTAAAATGTTTGTCTGCTACTTCAATTTCAGTATTGTAATAAATAATATACATCAGAATATACGCGGAAGTAATAACGCACGGCGAGCGCACGTGGAAATTGTATTACCCAGTTTGCACTTGCGCGATCTAATCAGATACACTAAAGCAGGTACAACAAAATGTCATTCAATAACAGTCACCACAATCAGACAACTACGCCACTAGCGAAGCCCACAGGGTTGAACGCGGGCCGAGTGATGCAACCACGGGTGAGAACACATCGCGAGCTTTCGAATGACTTCTGGCTGGCCAGAATCGAATATAGCGATGTAAGCTACGGGATGGGAACATGGAGGAATTGTATCGAAGCTCAACCTCGTAGGCATCTGGAATGGCCCGTCACACAAGTTTTCATCCGCTTTGCGTCATGGGAAGGAAACAGTCCATATCTGTACGGGTTTGTGAGTTGTCAGTTGCACGTTCTTGTGGCAATACACAAGTCGGTCTTGCTACACTTGTATTAACAAAAATTTACATCCCAAGCATGCTTGCACATATCAAGAACCCATAACCAGTCCTCGTTACCAAAACGTAGTACTTCTTGGATTCAACGGATTCTAACTTAATGATTCCTAATTACCATCCTTTCCGAAAAGTCGTCATCATCATCAGCTATTTGAAATGATGCTTCGCTGCCATACAACCATGATGACCTAAGAAATAAAGAACAATAAAGGGAGAGAAGGGGATTTACTTGAAAACCTTAATGCCCTAAGCAAACTCCCAGGGTTAAGGCGCCTACACCTTGTGTTAACAACGTACCGCCACAAACAGCTGGCTATCGTGCAAAGATAAAGCCCAATACTCTCAGTAATTCAGCCTCAAGCTGAAAGATCACAATGCTTCAGTGAGATGAAGCAAAGGGCAGTGACTTTATTTAGTGGCTAGTGACATACGCCACGTCGCAGTATTGTTTAACGGACAAATGTGGCTTTTTATAGGGAGAACGCTTGCCAGACGAATACCCATCACGTCCTGAAACACTGCCGCTGGAAAGGGATAATCCAGAACCATTCAGCTGGCACCACGAGGAGGTAGTTCAGCAAGCCAATATATATATATATATATATATATATATATATATATATATATATATCGTTAGCGGCATCCGGTTTCGGATTTGCCTGTCACTGTGGCAAGACACAGGACGGCTGCGCCTACAGAGGGACCGTGGATGGCTTGCGCTGCACCACCCTTAGCTCCAATCACACACCCCATATCTAGTGTAAACCCGAAGGAATAAGACCGGGAAGCATGTGGATGGGGCTGCATTTCATCAACGGAGCCGGCCCACCCTCCTACACAGGCAAACACAAGCACGCTGTATTTGGGGAGTCAAGCGCGCACAAGGTGTGACTGGGCCATAGTCCGCTCCACACTGAGTGCATGGAACCACTCTTCGAGCCTAGCACGGCCACAAGGACTGTGCACCCGGTCCCCTCCAGCAGCGACCAACTGTCTCCTGGAGCCAGCGTGGACGAGGTAGTGGATAATAGACAGGTAGGCACCTTGTCAACATGCACATTAAGCGCAGCCACACCTGGGATATCAAGCAACAGCCAATCACTTGAGAGAAAGCTAACAAAGAAAATAAATCGAGTAATGCACAAGCAAACGGTGACATACGTCGTAAATTGATGAGCAAATGAAATACGTTGTATACAAAAGAATCCGAGATAAGTTCACGAGGTCAGAAAGTGTATCTTATGGAAATGACACAAACACGAAAATGTTATCGAAATTAACTGCAATTGGCTTAAGCGACTTGTGCAAGTTTATAGAAGAGAGTACAGATAGACATTTATACGAGAAAGGAAAGCATTAGGACAAAATTGTAAACTCACCACCTGAAATAAATAGACTTAGCATGTGAGCACGCGATTAGTAAATCGAGTGCTGCGTACCTATACACGCTGAGCTGGTTCTGCCTACGTTCTTTGAAGGACCGGTCGTCGCTTAGATAGTGATCCCGAGTGGCCTCGCTCATGGCTCCCTAAGCCTGCCTGACTCAGGCACTCGCGACTGCATGTGCTACAGCACCATGCGTTTGATGTCGATGGAGAACAACCCATCGGTGCTTGCCGCTTCGCACTTGCCGCTTCTTCTCTGCAGTGTGACGTCTTTCTCCCACACTTCGGCAACTGCCTTCGTGATTAGATCGCGCCATGCACGCCGATCAACCGCCTTCGATTCCCATGATCTGCAATCAAGATTAGAACGTGTGAGGCTCACTTTTGATCATGTTCTGGTAACGTAACTTTGGTTTCCGCACGTGCCGCTTCCCTATACTCAGCTAACCATTTAAGAGTTGTTTCGGTATCCGCGTTGAATCCATACGGCTCACATGAGCGAGCCACCTCAGGTGTCTCAGTAAAAGTATGCAGTCCACTGCATACGTCCCACTTCGGCGCAACACTTCCGTGTCTGCAACTCTGGCGCCCCAATCGATGCGCAAAATCCGTAGCAAGCACTGCTGATGGAACCACTCGAGATATCGCACATCCCGCCGGTACATCGTTCACGTTTCACTGCCGTATAGAAGAACGGACAGCACCATGGATTTATACACCATCAGCTTCGTGCCAATGGTAAGCTGATTGTTGTTCTACACTCGATACTCTAGCTTCCCAAATGCCGCCGCTGCCTTCGACACGCGAATACGCAGCTCAATGCGTAGCTGCTGCTCAGTCAGCGTCACACACCCAAGGTAGCAAAAGCGGGAGGTGATTTCTAATACTTCAGCACCAGTGTTGATTCGCGACAATATATATATATATATATATATATATATATAGTAGTTAGCTCACCACTCCTGTTTTTCCTTTGCCTTTCATATTCGCATCAGTGACAAATTTTTTCTTCTCATTGCCCTTGTTGTGACTGTTTTCAGCCTCCAATCTCCTGGGCGAACTTAACCGGGGAGTCTATTTACTCATGTCTGGTTTGGATATCGAACGTCTCGTTCTGTCCGCTGGTCCCATCGGTCTAATGCAGGCCGCATGCGATGTGGCTTTCGCCTACGCCCAGGAACGTCAAGCTTTCGGTACACCTATTGCAGAGCACGGTATGATTCAGGCCAAAATGGCTGACATGTACACGCAGCTACAGGTCAGTCGAGTGTACACCTACTCATTAGCGCAAACGGTCGACCAAGTGGGCCCATCTGCTTTTGGGCAAAAAGGTGGCCTCATGAACATCGATTGTGCCGCAGTTATACTCCACAACGCCGAGGCTGCCACTAAAGTTGCTCTAGATGCTATACAGATTTTAGGTGAGTCTATCCTTGTTGATACTATTACCACAAAAACAATTAACGCACAGTAATTTCTATAGAAACTAGAAGCCATAATTAAACTTTGCACAATAATCTGCCTCTACTGAAATTACATGCTCACAAAAACCACGGATACTCTAAATTTACCATCTCCCTTTGAACACCTGAAATACAGATAGTTCAGTTCATTGGGTAGTGACGAGTGAGTGAGTCAGTCTGCAACACCAGGACAGATACTGTGAGCTTATTGGCAATACGTAGCGAACCAAGCAGAAGTCATGTATTAAACGGCGCACCTGGTCGTCACTTCTCGGTAGCTCAGTTGGTAGGGCAGCGGACCGGTAATCCTTATGTCCGAGGTTCTATTCCCCGTCGAGGCAGATTATTGTGCAAAGTTTAATCTTGGCTTTTACTTTCTACAAAAATTACATGGTCACAAAAACCACCAGTGCACAATAATTTCTTCATGTTTGTCAAGTATCCATAGTGGATGACAAAACCTCCATCATTTAGGAGGCTATAACATTTACTCTCATATCAAATGGTTCAGAAATGACTTATCGCTTCTATATCGTTTAAAAACATTCATCCCATCGATGCTATTCTACCTTACGTCGATTCCCCCGAGATACATCATGAAGAGCTGTTTACGACCCATACTACATATTGGTAACTTTTACTATCACCATTAACAAAACGAGAACTAGGGACTTATGGCTCACGTGATATCTTCGAACTCATAACGTAATTAATAAACAAACCAGATTGATATAACCAACTTTGCACGGTTACCGACAGCCAATATCGATCACTAAGTTGCATCAGTCATTTGTACACAGAGGCAATGTCGCTTTTTCCGTACCTTAAAGCGATAATAGAACATCTCTAATCAATACTTTTCTCAGTAATCAACGAATCGATTGCTCACAGTGCATCCATTCAGTGTGAATATTAGTATCATTCTTTACAACTTTACTTCATAACGGAGCACTCACCTGTGCATAAGGAATAGGTATTTTCTCTCAAAGCGACCTTATTTATCAACATCCTCCTCAGCGAGACTATTGTTTTCCTCGCCGAGTGCACCGGCAAACAATTCTGTTTACCGGTGTAAAAGAACTCGAGATGGGGCTTCATCCGTGTGCTTAAAGCCTTCCGTCCCGTTTTGCTGGGTAACTATGCCGACAGGTGTTCATGCTCAAACCGTACAACCGTCCAGTGAGTGAAATGATTGGGCAACCACTAGTCTATCTGCTGTTCATTGATCGAGTAATCTTCCTTGCCGACTGCTTCATGGATCAGTTTGAATTACTGCCTTAAGGATCACAGGCGCTGGTTCGAGTTTGCGCCGGAGCAGGGCAACTCTCGCAATATCTTTAGACGACGTGCGGCTGGTAGTAGTTGCGCGACAGCGAAACGTCGGTACTGCGTACCGGTGTACTGCTGATACCTTTATTGTGGCAGTTTGATCGGCCGCCCCACAAAAGCATGCACTTTAGCCGGCAACCGCAGTCGAACGAACATCTGCCTCCTATGGATGTTCGGATGCTGCATTTACCAGATTGTTCGTTGTGACACACATTCCACAAGCACTTAGTGGCGCACTTTTATAGTATTGTGCCGCTTCGATATAAATGTTTTTTTCGCTGTTATTTGTTCTCCGGACTTGGCAGCTTGGTTGTAAGCGTTTCACCACCATGCGTGGTGGCATCGTCAGTGTAGTGTGATATCCTCTTTCTCGAATTGTCAACTCGTGCTCGATGTGCATGCGACTTTTGAGAGTGACAGCCTCTATTTGCGTCCCGTGGTCTTTACCCATTTTCCCCACGACTGGACTCGGCGCTCGAATTGTTCTTCTATAAGCTACGTGACGGAGTCTTTCTTGTTTCCTTCTCTTGAGATGGTTGATATCCTAAATCGGTATCGATGTGCATGCTGATTGACTTCTTTGTGGGGAACCCAGCTTCCAGGTACTCCCTTTCTCTTCTTGTTTCACCTTGTTTGAGGACTTCTGTTTTAGTCCGAAGGAAGCTGTACCGTTCTTCTTCCATGGAGTTTACCCTGGAATTATTTGTTGTTAACTGTGGGTGTTGTGAATCTAAGTGGATCGCAGGACTGCAGCGAAGCAAACGATAAGTCCTTATTTTCGTATTTAAAGTGTTAACTATTTTACTATCTGTTTCATCATAATTATTATGTTGATATCCCCACCAACTATCCAACGGGGCTTGTAAAGCAACGCTTCTTAACCCGTATAAATTCATTGTTCATTGTTCATGTGCAGTGAGACATTAACTTGGAAAATTACCGGTGCTATCCGAGGAACATAAACTAAGACTCGCACTATTAGCCGCATTAACGTCTTAGTGCGCAGCTTAGTACATAGTCAGTCGCTATCTCTTGATGTCAGAAGCTTCGTGCACTGCGGTCGTCGCATCATTGACGTCGCCTACGTACACCGCTTTACCTACGAGCTAGCCGTTTGACCATACCAAATTGTGACGTACCGATTCATTGCGCCACTCCTCTCTCGCCTGTTGGCCCGCGCACGCAATTTGTCCATCGTATACCAATGCTTGCTCGGACAAGCATCTGGTAACTAGGTGAAAGGATACTGGCTACCGGCTGTGATGCTATGCGAAACAAATATCAGCTCCTTTCGCCAACAGGATTTCTTAATAGAATAAGGTGGTGCATGTTCCAACCTCTTGTCCAACGGTATCTCAACTTCTACTCCCCATCTGCTGGCCCAACGCGCCACTAGTCTCACCCGCGTCCTGCCATCCGTCATCGACCTGGGGATGGATTGCTCTCGAGCATTGCGGTCGGCACCTTTTTACCCCTTCGTGACTACATCTTCCTGTATGCTTACATCCGACATCCTATTGGCTGATGGCGCATGACCAATGAGACCGCTCGCACAAAAGCAACGGCCGACACATGCGTGGGCGAACGTGTAAGAGTAATAGACGAAGTAGAAATCCCTACGGCTTGACTTGACTGCCCTATGGCCTAAAATGTCTGTGAAATGGTATAGAGGGACTCCTTCGGTCACCCTGGAATTTGAGTTTCGAGAAAGGTGCAGGTTGGTAAGACAAGCTCGTCTGAGTCTGAAACCTTGCTGGGTTATAAACTCCATCATTTTTGATAAAACAGTATGGATAATAATAGGTCGGTAATTTGCGTGATTCTATCGCTTACCTCCTGTGTATGTCGGAGTGACGAATCCATTTTTCCACTCAGATAGACGTGTATAAAAATCAAGTATACACAGGAAAAACCTGTACGATGGATTGTTGTAGTGGAGTTTCAAAAGCATCTGGGCAGGTTTTGTTAATTCCCGGAGCACCGTTTCCTCGGAGAATGTAATTTGCTTCGGATAGCTGCTTTGGTACAGATGACGCTGGATAGGCCGCTGATATTTACTTGGAGGTGATAGGTCGAAGATTCCATAGTGCTTGTAGCCCCTGAGCCAAACTACTGGAGCAGTACGTTCGCGATATCCACAGCAGTAGTCATTAGGCCACTGGCCGCCTTATTTGGTGCTATTCCACTATTAGTTTTCGGTTCTACTAATTGACGTGCAGTGGTTTCCGATGTTTTTTTGTTATTCTTCCCTGCGGTATCATATGTTGTCTCCAAATTTCGTCTCTTTTGTTAATCCACCTGTGCGTTTTGCTACGAATCCAGGCGTTTGTCCGGTTAGATACTCGGATTTGTTGCTTTATGCATATGCTCGTTAAATCTTATACAATGGTTAACTATCCATTAAATTCATTTCTTGATTTGTCAAAGATGTCTTTCCGTCACTGCGCGTGTTTGCGCGTCACCTTTAAGATCACATCTAGGAAATCGTTGTTTTTTTCGATTTCGCACCTCATTTAGATTATATGTCCTTCCACTTCTGGGACCGGGTCAGTAATTCACGCATTGCTTATGTCAAATTCGGTCATTGATACCGCTATAATTATGTTTTACGAATCTGCTACTGATCTTGAGAATCTTTTCTGGGGCTCTTTTGCATTTGTCTCCGTTAGCATCAACCTGCGGTCTCTAGTACCCCACAGCTTCTGTTGCCTTTTTACTTGAACCATGGTTTTTCTCTTCAGGTGGTAACGGGTACACCGAGGATTTCCCCCTCAGTCGGATCTTGCGGGACGCGAAATTGTACGAGATCGGAGCAGGCACTAGTGAAATTCGTCGGCTCGTGATTGCTCGAGGTATCAACTCGCATTACCGTTGCTGAATCCCCTTGTGATTTGCACTTTCACTTTGCCTTCTAAACAATTGTCAAAACATCGAACGGTTTTCCCCTCAGCTTGATGTTACTTTTTTCTTTATCTGAAATAACGCTACTTATGGCTGTTACTCCGGGCCTCGAAAATTATAAATAAATAAATAAATATTTTATTCTCGACTATGCGAGGCACGCTCATGGAGGCATGATCAGATATGTACAACGGTACAAACATTATAATGCAATTGTAACAGTAACGCAGAAAATTGTTCATATATCCATGATTGGAACTGTACAATGTTGAAAATGCGAAACAATAAGTTGGCTGTCATGAGATACGGGACCTCAGCTAATAAGAGATTGAGAAACCTGAATGATCCACTGAAAGGTAATGGAAGAGCCCGCACACAAGGAAGGAAAAGGGCAACGTATGGTAGGATGTAAAACGACAACAGTATATACAGATGTAGAAGTCCCAGTGTAACGATCCTATGTAGAATTGTGACGCTAGTTGACCTGCCAGTGTAAAGTTATGGGCTGTGACTTTATTCGGTGGCGAGTCACATACGCCACGTTGCAGTGTTGTTAAACGGACATTTGTGGCTTTTTGTAGGGAGAACGCTTGCCAGGCGAAAACCCACCACGTCCTGGAACACTGCCACCAATCCATTGAATGGCAAATTGTAACTGGCTATGTTTCTTGTTAAAAGTCTGTTTGCTCGGTTATTCGCAGTCAGGTTGCGTCCCATTTTTTCCGCTGGTTGATGCAATAACTGGTTGCCTATTGCGTTCCTGGGTCCTGTCCGTTGGTAGGTCGGGTACTAAACATTCTTATTGAATATAATGTGTTGATCCTTCGCAGAACCACATGAAGTCATCTCTGATTATGTATATTTGCCGGGGAGCGAAGAATTCGTGTCCAGCTACCCTCACTGGACATCGGTGGTTGGGTGCAAATAGTTAGAGTGGAAGTGAGGCCATGGTCCAGGTAAGTACTTGTTGGTTATTTCGTCCCATCCCAGACGGAGGCAGTTCCTCAGTTCAATCCCGAAGCTCTCCGATGTTCACGACCTCAGAGAAAAGGGAGAGAGGAACAAGCCGAGAGAAGACCGAAAAGGAACAGTCGATGTACCTAGCGTTTGATCAAAATCCTACATTAAGACATTTATTTGAGACAACTAGTGTACAAGGTGTAACAGATATTACGCTAAAGATGTTTTTACTTATGCGGAAGGCATGGCCTGATGGGTAGAATACTTTCATGTGCATAGGGATGAAGAGCAGGATTCCGGTAAGATATTCATGAGGTGTAAGCTGACAATGTTCGAATTCTACCTGAGACTAGAAAGTGGGTGTGTAGTCACGATTGGTTGTTATCGGAAACCCAAGGACAGTGACGATGTGGCCGTATTTATATATGCTCACGGGATAAGGATTACCTAAGACACCATAACTACAATGTACATAGGTATATGAATATAGGAAGCTGAGCATATTAGAAGCTGGCTAAGATTAAATGGATATCAAAGGAAGACTAAGTGTTGAAGGTAAGACGATTAGAAGATATCGATACTGGACCGGGTATCAGTGGACAAGGGTGCCTGTTGGGTTAATCATTCGAGGTGCCAATGAATAACAACCGTGTCAAAGGATCGGACAGCAAACCAGCTGAGCTGTGAAAAAACTATACCAGGAGAATAAACAATCTACAGAAGGACTGACGCCTAGCAAGCTAAGGAGTATTCCCAAAGTTGAATAGAGCATACAGCAAACAGCTGCCGCAGAGCAGAGATAGTGGCTAAAGGAATGGAGGTATCAGTGGCTGATTCAACCATATCATTAAGACTTTTGACCACATGTCAAGTAAACGCGAGTAAGACAGACGACGGATAACGGCGCGCTAGGAGAGATGAATGGCCAGCAATAAAGTTCGAAATAAGGCTTCAGCTACCTGCGGGTCCTACGGTGGCACAGAATAGGTCAACAAACAGCTGAGCTGTGACGCAAACAATCAAAGAGATGAACATGGTAAGAACGGAGCAAGCTCCGGGTATCCGCAAAGTTAAATGGAACCTATGGCGACTAGCTGCTGCTAAGCAGAGATAGTGGCTCAAGAAAAGTATGTATCAGAGGCTGGTGTAGCCATATGATTAGGAAGTTTGACCAGTACTGGATGACTACAGTTTCAGTGAATAAAGCAACAGACGAGCGCTGAATAAGGAGACAGACTTCAAAAGAAAATGAACGCTGGAGTGTCAAGAAGTTGCTCCTTCCAGGCTACATGAGGCCAACAACGACTAGCTACTGCCAAAGAAAATTGCACGAGAGTAAGACGAAAAACGGATAACTGCGCGCTAGGAGAGAGATGAATGGCCAGCCACAGAATTCGGATTAAGGTATCAGTTACTAGTGGATCCTACGGTGGCACAGAATAGGTCAACAAACAACTGAGCTGTGACGCAAACAATCAAAGAGAATGAACATTGTAAGAAATGAGCAGCTCCTAGAGAGCTCCGGGTGTCAGCAAAGTTGAATTGAGGCTATGGCGACTAGCTGCTGCTAAGCAGAGATAGTGGCTCTAGAAAAGGAAGTATCAGTGGCTGGTGAAGCCATATGATAGTTATAGTTTCAATGAATAGGTCAACAGACGAGCGCTGAATAAAGAGACAGACGTCGGAGGAAAATGAAAGCTGGAGCGTCAGGTAGTTGCTCTTTGTAGGTTTCATGGGGCCAACAATGTCTACCTACTGCCAAGAAGAATGACGCGACTAAGAAGAACGGCGCGCTAGCAGTGAGATAAGTGGCCAGCCATAGAATTCGGATTAAGGCCTCAGGTACTAGTGTATCCTACGGTGGCACAGAATAGGTCAACAAACAGTTGAGCTGTGGCGCAAACAATCCAAGAGAATGAACACTGTAAGAAATGAGCAGCTCCTAGAGAGCTCGGGGTATAAGCAAAGTTTAATTGAGGCTATAACGACTAGCTGCTATAGGCAGAGATAGTGGCTCTAGAAAAGTATGTATCAGTGGCTGGTGGAGCCATATGATTAAGAAGTTTGACCACTACTGGATACCTACATTTTCAATGAATAGGTCAACAGACGAGCGCCAAATAAGGAGACAAACGTCAGAGGAAAATGAAAGCTGGAGTGTCAAGTAGTTGCTGTTTGCAGGTTACATGGGGCCAACAATGACTAGCAACTGACAAGAAGAGTGACGCGACTAAGCAGAACGGCGCGCTAGGATTGAGATAAGTGGCTAGCCTTAGAATTCCGATTGAGGCTTCAGGTACTAGTGGATCCTACGGTGGCACAGAATAAGTCAACAAACAGCTGAGCTGTGACGCAAGCAATCAAGAGAATGAACATTATAAGAAATGAGCAGCTCCTAGGGAGCTCAGGGTATCCGCAAAGTTGGATGGAGGCTATGGCGACTAGCTGCTGCTAAGCAGAGATAGTGGCACTAGAAAAGGATGTAACAGTGGCTGGTGAAGCCATATGATTAGGAAGTTTGACCACTACTGGATACCTACAGTTTCAATGAATAGGTCAACAGACGAGCGCGAATAAGGAGACAAACGTCAGAGGAAAATGAAGGCTGGAGTGTCAAGTAGTTGCTCTTTGCAGGTTACATGGGGCCAACAATGACTAGCTATTGCCAAGAAGATTGACGCTACTAAGAAGAACGGCGCGCTAGCAGTGAGATAAATGGCCAGCCACAGAATTCGGATTAAGGCATCAGTTACTAGTGGATCCTACGGTGGCACAGAATAGGTCAACAAACAACTGAGCTGTGACGCAAACAATCAAAGAGAATGAACATTGTAAGAAATGAGCAGCTCCTAGGGAGCTCCGGGTATCAGCAAAGTTGAATTGAGGCCATGGCGACTAGCTGCTGCTAAGCAGAGATAGTGGCTCTAGAAAAGTATGTATCCGAGGCTGGAGTAGCCATATGATTAAGAAGTTTGACCACTACTGGATACCTACAGTTTCAATAAATAGGTCAACAGACGAGCGCTGAATAAGGAGACAAACGTCAGAGGAAAATGAAGGCTGGAGTGTCAAGTAGTTGCTCTTTGCAGGTTACATGGGGCCAACAATGACTAGCTATTGCCAAGAAGAGTGACGCTACTAAGAAGAACGGCGCGCTAGCAGTGAGATAAGTGGCCAGTCATAGAATTCGGATTAAGGCTTCAGGTACTAGTGGATCCTACGGTGGCACAGAATAGGTCAACAAACAGCTGAGCTGTGACGCAAACAATCAAAGAGAATGAACATTGTAAGAAGGGAGCACCTACTTGAGAGCACTGGGTATCAGTAAAGTTGAATTGAGGCTATGGCGACTAGCTGCTATAAGCAGTGTTAGTGGCTCTAGAAAAGTATGTATCCGAGGCTGGAGTAGCCATATGATTAAGAAGTTTGACCACTACTGGATACCTACAGTTTCAATGAATAGGTCAACAGACGAGCGCCGAATAAGGAAACAAACGTCAGAGGAAAATGAAAGCTGGAAAGTCAAGAAGTGGCTCTTTGCAGGTTACATGGGGCCAATAATGGCTAGCTACTGCCAAAGAAAATTGCACGAGAGTATGATGAAAAACGGATAACTGCGCGCTATGAGAGAGATGAATGGCCAGCCACAGAATTCGGATTAAGGCATCAGTTACTAGTGGATCCTACGGTGGCACAGAATAGGTCAACAAACAACTGAGCTGTGACGCAAACAATCAAAGAGAATGAACATTGTAAGAAATGAGCAGCTCCTAGGGAGCTCCGGGTATCAGCAAAGTTGAATTGAGGCTATGGCGACTAGCTGCTGCTAAGCAGAGATAGTGGCTCTAGAAAAGTATGTATCCGAGGCTGGAGTAGCCATATGATTAAGAAGTTTGACCACTACTGGATACCTACAGTTTCAATAAATAGGTCAACAGACGAGCGCTGAATAAGGAGACAAACGTCAGAGGAAAATGAAGGCTGGAGTGTCAAGTAGTTGCTCTTTGCAGGTTACAT